GGGGGGGGGCGGGAGGGGAGCAGCAGTGCCCAGGAGAGCACCCCAGTGAAGCACCCGGCCTGGTTTCCCCCAGCCCTACCTCCTGAGCCAGGAGCTGCCCCCTGACTGGGATCAGCGGCCGGTCAAGACCCTCGTGGGCAAGAATTTTGAGCAGGTGGCTTTCGACGAAACCAAGAATGTGTTTATCAAGTTTTGTGAGTGCAGCGGGCCACGGGTGGTGGGCAGCGGGCAGGTGGGGGCCTCTGCCGGCTGTGCCAACGCCCCGCTGTCCTAGACGCCCCTTGGTGCACCCACTGCAAGGAGATGGCCGCGGCCTGGGAGGCCCTGGCCGAGAAATACAAGGACCACGAGGACATCATCATTGCGGAACTGGACGCCACAGCCAACGAGCTGGAGGCTTTCCCTGTGCACGGCTTCCCTACCCTCAAGTTCTTCCCCGCGGGGCCGGGTCGCAAGGTGAGGTAGGGCAAGAGACCCCGTCTTCCTCGGTCTGCGGCTTGGTCCGCACCTTCCTCGGGCCTCGGCCATGGCCAAGAGATAGGGCAGGGCCTCCAGCGGCAGGGCCTGGGAGGATGTGGTCAGGGTGCAGGGCTGGGGGAGGCATGTTCTCCAGCGCCTCGTGTCCCTCCTTAGGTGATTGAATACAAACGCACCAGGGACCTGGAGACCTTCTCCAAGTTCCTGGACAACGGGGGCGAGCTGCCCGCAGAGGAGCCCACAGAGGAGCCCGCAGCCCCCTTCCCGGTGGGTGCCTCTTTCCCAAGGTTCCCAGTCTCTGGACGTGGCAGTGAGGGTGCCAGGGGCTGGGGTGAGTCAAGGGCACAGCTTCTAGCCGGGGCTCTGTGACCCTTTCCAGGAGACCCCAGCCAATTCCACCACGGAGCCCAAAGAGGAGCTGTAGTCGCCCCCCCAACATCACCGTCTGGTGCCCCCACACCAGATGGTTCACTGAGGAGCCAGTGAATAAAGAGCTTTTGATCCTGCACGGTGTGTGTGGTTCCTGAGCACGGCCGGCCCCCCGGCCCCCCAAGAACCTCCTGGGCCCGTTCCGTCTTGAATGCGTCCTAGCCCTTGCCCCCAGCCCTTCTGGGTGGGTCTCTGACCCAGATCAGGGTCTGGGAACCCACCCTCTCCAGAGCTGTCAGTGTACCTCCACCGGACACCCCCCATACACAGGGGACCCTCAGAGGCCTGAAGTGCCGTGGTGGACAATGGCAAGCAGGCCACCAGGCTCCACCCACAGAAAACAGGTGTCTCCATCGCCGGAGAAGGTTCAAAAATGATTTTATTCCATTATTATCCAAGTACCTTTGAAAAGATAATTGTACAAGTCAGCGCATGAAAAATGGGCTGGGGCAGCCCCCTCCACCCCGCTGGCCCTGGCCTGAGAAATGTACATATTTACACGGGCCCTGAAAGGGGAGGTGGGGGGGCCCGGGACCCGCTGAGCCCGCGCTCTGGAAACGGAGGGTGGAGGAGGGAGAGCGCTCCGGGCTCCGGCGCCGGATCCACACAGTGGCAGGCAAGAGACAAGCTGTGTTGAAGGCACTCGGTGACATGTACAATTTACAGAGGCCCCCGCGGGGCCCCTGGCCCCCCAGGCCCGGGCCAGGCCCGAGCGGGGCAGGGCGCGGCGGACGAGTCCCAGGGGGAGGGGCAGAGCCTGCAGTGTGAGCGCGGGGCGAGGAGCGGGCGGGCCTGCCCGCGGTCAGCAGCAGGGCGACACGGAGGGCGGTCGAGGTGGCTCCGGGGCGGGCTACCCGCCCAGGCGGACCGAGTGTTGCTGAGGAGTGGACCGCGCACCCTCCTCGTCAGCTGCAGGACGGAGGCCTGTGGGACCCGCAGAGGGACCCCTGCCCGTCCGGACACAGATGGCCCGAAGAGGCGGGTGGCCTTCTGCCAGTAGTTGTGTTGTCTGCATACACGCCAAGCAGGTGACCCACAGGACCCTCGGAGGCCGCCCTGGCCCCTGCCTGACGAGGGCCCAACCTGGCGCGGAGGCCCGGCTGGCGGGTCAGTCCACCTTCTCCACCTTGCCGATGATCTTCTCCTCGAAGACCGGCAGGACGGTCTCATCTTCCCGAACCTCCTCAAACACCACGCCGCAGTCAAACTCGTCGCTCACCTTCTTGAAGTAGTATCTGGAGGACGCGGGCCAGAGGCGGCGAGAGGAGGTGAGGGCCTCGTCCCCTCCTCCGCTGGCCCAGCGGCCTCATCTCCCCTCCCGTGCACACAGACGCCGCAGGGCCCCGGCCACCAACACGTGTGCTGCCCACCGCAGGGTCTCCCGCGCTGCCCGGCCCTCACCTGTAGTTGCCCTTCCTGGTCAGCAGCTCCTTGAACTGGCCCAGAGTGACGGCTCGGCCCCGCACCAGGGTCCGGTACGGGATGGGCTCCCCGCAGAAGTAATAGGCCACCACGATGCTGTCACACGGCTGGGCGCTCCCACTGCCCGCCTTCCTCTGCGACTTCGACCTGGGGGCAGAGGCGCAGCGGTGACCGCTGGGCTCGGGGTCACACAGGACACACCCCAAAGGGCTTCGGGCCCCCTACAAACAGGGGATAAGGACTAGAGAGGATGAGCCGGCCTGGCCGTGTGCAAACACCACGAGTGCGAAAGCCCGGATACCCCTCACCCGCAGCTCCCTGTGGCCTCGCTCCGTGTGGGGCCTCAACCAGAGGCTCCGGTCCGGCCACACTCTCCAAAATCTACAGCATGGATGCCAGCTCATCTCCCCTCGTGCCCGTGGCCTCCAGCCTCCCTGTGTCCTGAGCTGGCTGGAGCACGTCACCTCCTACCCAGACCACACGAACGTGGCTTCTCGGGGCCAGAACCCATGGTGGATCCCATCGCGGGGCGTGGGAAAAAACGCCTAGGTTACTGGAAAAAACGCAGCCCCCCACCTCTAGGCTGGGCTACGCTACCTGTACCTTAGGAGAGGCCTGAAGCCCTAAAGCTTCAGAAACTCTGAACGCCAGAGGCTGGGCGAATGGCACCGTGCATGGGTCTGGAAATGAACCTGCCCGCCCCCCTACCTCCACCGCAGACGGCTGGTCTGAAGAGCAGAGGCAGTGGCCGGCCAGATTTACAGGGAGGGCCGTGAGGCCAGCACGGTCTCCTGCCCGGGACCACTCCGAAGGGCCACCTGTCCTGATGGGTGACGAGACCGCACAGGCGGCGCGCCCTCCGTCCCGTAGTGGTCCCCGTCCCTGTGACCGCCCCGGAGCTGCCCAGGTGTGCTCGGACACAGTCCCTGGCCCCCACCAGCCGCCCTGCCAGGAGTGGGTTGCAGCGTCATGTCGGGAAGGCCTCCTGAGCTCACAACGGGACGCCCTGTCTCCCTGGTGCTCCGGGGGATAGAGGGGGCGGTTCCTTGGGCTAGCTGGCCGTCTGCGGCTCAAGCCGGGCTCCTGGGCGCCTGCTTTCCTTCCCTGAGTGCTGCAACCTAACATGGTGGCGGGGGTCCTCTGCAGAAGGGATGCAGGGCCCCTCCCCGCCGGGAGACCACCCTCGAGGAGTGACCTGATGGGGAAGCTCTGAGTCACTCAGGCATCCGGCTGGACGTGATGAGCCACTGTGTGGGATGAGGCGGGGGACCCCGTTTCTGCTCCGTTCTGAGCAGAGGCACAGGGGTTGGGTGGCCGGCACCGTCTACATGAGGTCCCCAACACCTGCCCTGCACCACGCCTGCCTGGGGAGCGGACGCGCCAAGCACCTGTGCCCACGTTCCACGCAAGAACAGAGCTAGACAGACTCCGTGTGCTCACGGCACCCGGACACACACACCCGCGGTGCTGGGCCAGGAGAGGCACCACCAGTCGCAGATCACCGAGCCCCAACGGCTGGCCGGGAAGCTCAGGAAAGTAAAGGCGGGTGGGCACACGGGGCCAGAGCGGAGGCAGCAGGTCAGAGCTCCCTCCCTGGCCCGGAGGCCACGTGTCACACAGGACGGCCCACGTCTCCTCTGACAGAGACCGGAAGCTTGAGGCCGGCTCCAGCTCTTCCGGCGCGACGCCCCAGATCCTGGGAACAGCGGCTCCCCCGCGGGAGGCGGGGTAAGCGGTACCGAGACCCTCGGGGGGCGCACGTACTCTGTCTCCGAGAGCTCCAAGTCGGACACGGCTGGCACCACGCTCAGCACAGGTGTGCACGCTGGCCTGACACAGGAGCGCCCCCGCTGGATGACCTCCTGCACATACCTAGGGAACAACCACGGCGGTGAGCTGCGCGTGCTGGGGTCGGGCCTCCGCCAAGGCTCCGCTGTGACAGTGGGGCCACAGACAGGCAGACGGAGCAGGGGCCCCGGGGAGGGTCCGTCACCGCCGAACCAGGCTCCCACCGTGTGGGGCGGACAAAACACCACACCACACCACACGACGGGGGCTTCCAGGGCTCCGTCGGGGCCGGTCAGGAAACACGAGGCTCCAGTTAATCCAGAGTTCCTGGACTCCTCGGCGGATGACACTCCGGGGAACCACCGACCCTTCCTCCACACTGAAAAGAGCCTTCGGGGACGGCCTGGCTCCGGCCTCGTCTGCGTGCTCGGCCTCGTCCGCGCTCTGCTGCTGCTCCATCCCGAGCAGTTTTCCCAACAGCTGTCCGCCCCGGACGCGACGTTGTGCAGCCCTGACGGTGACTTCTCTTCCGCCAGCCGGGGCGGGGTGGGGGTGGGTCACCCCACAAGGAACTCAGACCTCCATCCGTATCTGCAGTCGCTTACAAAAGGCCCACGTTCTGGACCGGCGACAAATGGAGACGCCGGAGCCGGTGGCCAAAACCCTGTCAGGAGCCTCACGGCCCAAATACGGATTCCCAAGAGGCTTGTGTGGACCAGTTTGGTGTCTCTGGCCGGCACGAGCACACGCAGGGCCTGCCGGGTGCTGCCGAGAAGAGCAGACGTGAGCCCTACACCCCCAGTGCGTGGCAAGGACGACGTTCCCAGGCTCTGTGCAGCAGGGAAGACTTCCTACCCATATGCCCCAGCCCCTTCCCCGCCGGCCCCTCTGCCGCCCTGTCCGCCTCCAAGTCACAGGCCCCGTCAGACGAAGCAGCATCCGCAGCACCGAGCCGGCTCTCTGGTTCTATGTTGACAGGGTCACAGGGTGTGAGACAGGTGGCCATAAACGTGGTCACACTCAATGACCAGGGGACGCAGTCAGGCTCCTGGCTCTGCCCGATAAGACAGGCACCAGGGATGGCCTGCATGCTGACACCAGCCTCCCAAGAGCTGGACGGCCCCCCACACAGTGAGGTCCCCAGGAAACATGTCCAGTGACCATGACTGGGCAAGGGGCGCTGGCAACGTCCAAGAACAGGGCCACCGTGTGACCGTGCTCCGGGGCCTCGGTGGAAAATGCAGATTTCCCGGATCTGTCCGGGAATTCCAACGCGCTGGTACATTCAGGGAAAAGTGACCTCAAGGCCCAGCAGAAAGGGCAGGGGAAGGAACATTCTGGCCTGGAGAGAAGACCGCCATCCACAAAGGGGTTCTCCCTAGGGTGAGCGGCAGGGCGTGGGGAGCCGCATTGGCCTGAGGCTGTGTCAGCAGTGGGCGGGGCCTCTCTGGCCCTCAAGGCCCAGGAGGGCATGGCGCTGGGGACAATGGGGCTGGGGGTCCCTTGCAGAGAAGACTGTACCTCTATGCGTACTTCAGCAACGTTCACTGTCCCACCTGTGCGTGGCACCATTTATGGCTCCCCGCCCAAGGACCCCCCCAGGACCCCCACTCTGTAGCCTGCACAGCGGCCAGGGGGATCCCGACAGTAGTGTCTAGAGGCTCCGTGGAGCCCCGGGGCGAGTGCACACTCACAGAGGGGAGACGGCTCCCTCTCTACCCCAGGAGGACCCTCCCAGCCCCTTGTCACACAGCAAGGCCACGTGCCGTGCCCCGGGTGGCGCTCAGTGAAAGAAGAAACCAGGACTGCTGGGGGGTGCCCAGGCCTCGGGGGGCTACAGCCCCAAAGCAGTGCCAAGGCAGCCCTGATTGGGGGTGTGGCCTGCCCTCCCCGCTGCGCCCCCTACCTCTGCTTTGAGGGTAATTTGCTGGCTCTCTTCTCTTCCTCCTCCAGGCGCCTGCGGGCCTCCTCCAGCTGGGTCAGAGGGTTGGGGGCTGGGTTGGGTGGCATGGTGGGGTCTTGAACGAAGAGGTGAGAGGGCTGGACGGAGTTGCGAAGCTGAGCGCTGACCCAAGGGTGCACGGCCCCGGGACGCTCCACGGACAAGGGCCTGGGGCTCTCGTGCACCTGCTGCTTCTTGGCACCGGAAGACCTTTGGGAGCAAAAGAACGAGTGTGGTAGCATCTGGAACCCTGGCCACAGGCGGGACCAGTGGAGGCCACCAGGGGCACACCTGCCACCCCTCCCACCACACCACATGACACCGTGCTCCTCCGCTGCACGCTCTTTTTGTAACTCATTTTTATTTATTTATTTATTTATTTTAAGTTTTTTTTT